CAATTTCCCAGTATACGCCAGGACGTTTGCATATAATTGTTGGTTCCCTGCAGCATTATTTGTAATGGCAAAAGAATGGAAACAACCCAACTGTCCATCTAGTGAGGACTAATTCAATAAGTGTTATATATCCATATAATGCAGTACCATGTGTAAAAAAAGGAAGAAATGATTACATTTGCTTATACATACACACGTAAGAATCTCTAGACAAATGCATTAAACATGAATAAAAGAGAGGCTGGGCATGGTGGCTCCCACCTGTAATCCAGCACTTTGGGAGGCCAAGGTGGGAGCACTTACCTGATGTCAGGAGTTCGAGACCAGCCTAGCCAACATGGTGAAACCCAGTATCTACCAAAAATACAAAAATTAGCTGGGCATGGTGGCACATGCCTATAATCCCAAATACTCAAGAGGCTGAGGCAGAAGAATCGCTTGAACTTGGGAGGCAGAGGTTGCAGTGAGCTGAGATCATGTCACTACGCTCCAGCCTGGGTGACAGAGCAAGACATCTCAAAATAAAAAACAAAAAGAGAATAAAAGAGGTCACCAGTGAGAGAGTGAAGGTGGGGAACAGGGTGGATGGGAAGGTGTTAGGGGGAGCTTTTCACTCTACCAAGCATAGACAAACTGCCTATGGGCCAAACTAACCCCCTACTGTGTTTTTGTTAATAAAGTTTTATTGGAACACAGTCATAGCTACCCACTGTAGCCATATTATCTATGTCTAGGCCCACAACAGCAGAGTTAAGTCATCACCACAGACTTTTTACTATTTGGCCCTTTACCAAAAATGTTTGACAACTCCCACTCTATACCATTTCAATTTTTTTTTTTTTTTTTTTTTTTTTTTTGAGTTCTGCTGTTGTTATCCAGGCTGGAGTGCAATGGCACGATCTTGGCTCACCACAACCTCCGCCTCCTGGGTTCAAGCAATTCTCCTGCCTCAGCCTCCTGAGTAGCTGGGACTACAGGTGCGCACCACCATGCCCAGGTAATTTTTGCATTTTTAGTAGAGACGGGGTTTCACCTTGTTGACCAGGATGGTCTCAATCTCTTGACCTCGTGATCCACCCGCCTCAGCCTCCCAAAGTGCTGGGATTATAGGTGTGAGCCACCGCGCCCGGCCTTCAATTTTTTTTTTAAGACAGAGTTATGCTCAGGCACCCAGGCTGGAGTGCAACGGCACAATCTCAGCTTACTGTAACCTCTGCCTCCCGGGTTCAAGCAATTCTTCTGTCTTCACCTCTAGAGTAGCAGGGATTACAGGCACCCACCACCACACCTGCTAATTTTTTGTATTTTTAGTAGAAACAGAGTTTCACCATGATAGCCAGGCTGATCTCAAACTCCTAGCCTCAAGTGATCTGTCCACCTTGGCCTCCCAAAGTGCTGGGATTACAGGTGTGAGCCACCGTGCCTGGCCTTTTATCATTTTAAAACCATATGAATATATTTTATCTCTAAAAATTAAAGTTAGAAAAGGAAGTTAATTAAAGGGAAACTTAAACAACAAACCAGACTTGTTGAGCCTTTCACTATGAGAGGAAGGACTCCCGGAAAAGGCAGAAGGGTGGAGGAGATGAACATGGGCTTTGGGGTTTGACAGACTTGTTTTGGAATCCTGGCTGTGTCACTCATAAGCCATGTGACCCTGTAGGTCACTTGGGTGCGAGCTTTTGATGTCCTGCGCCATGGTGTAGAAATACTCGCCTTCTAAAAACATCCTCATAAACAGAGCAAATGGGCCAGGTGCAGTGGCTTACGCCTGTAATCCCAGTACTTTGGGAGGCCGCAGTGGGTGGATCACCTGGGGTTGGAAGTTTGAGACTAGCCTGACTAACGTGGAGAAACCCCATCTCTACTAAAGATACAAAAATTATCCAGGCGTGCTGGCACATGCCTGTAATCCCAGCTACTTGGGAGACTGAGGCAGGAGAATCGCTTGAACCCGGAAGGTGGAGGTTTCGGTGGGCCAAGATCACGCCATTGCACTCCAGTCTGGGCAACAAGAGTGAAACTCCATCTCAAAAAAAAAAAAAGAGCAAACATATCAAGAGCGCCTAGCACAGACCTGGTGTACAGTAGGTGCTCCATACCCGGTAACAGTTTTCCCCTGCTTTAGGCCACTGTAGGTTCATCTGGTAGCCTAACTACCATCTAACATTGTTGCTACGGATAATGTATTTCAAGCTCCAAACACTGGGAATGCATCCTGGTGAATTCAAGAGAACCTACCAGGAGGGCTGTAAACCACACTGAGAGTTCCAGGCTTTTCTGTTTGTTAGTTTGGTCCAGCAGTAAAAGAAATGGAGGTTCGGGAAGGGAAACAGACTCAAGAAAGTAGAGTTTTCCACCCTAAGAGTAGGGGGCAGAGCCAGGGTCAACACATAGTCATGGCCTTGGCAGAAGGGTGCCCATTTCTGCTTCCAGGAGAGGCAACCTTCAGAATATCCTCTTCTCAGCATGAATTGAGCTCAGCAGAGAGGGAAAAGCTGTGATAATCCACCTCCATGCAGGCTTAGTAAAGCAAATTCCTCTCCTCAGCAACGGAGGCCCTATGCCAGAGAGAGAGCCCACAGCACAGGCTGCCAGGGGAGAGGAGGAGCTCTTGCCCTACAGAGCACCGGCCCCTAGACACTGTGCTCTGGGCTTTACAAAGCTTATTTTGATTATGGAAATTTCGCTGGACCTGAGGAGCCTCCATGCAACTTCAGGGTCTGCAGATGAAGTAAACTGCACTAGGTCCCCTGCAACCCCCAGGCCAGGCAGGCTTCTCTACCTGACCCTCCCCAGCTCTCTCCTTCCTGGACTGTGCTCTCTGCTTCTGGCTTCCTGCAACCTCCCCTCACCTTTTTTGTTCTTTTTTTTTTTTGAGACAGAGTCTCACTCTGTTGCCCAGGCTGGAGTGCAGTGGTATGATCTCGGTTCAGGGCAACCCCTGCCTCCCGGGTTCAAGTGATTCTCCTGTCTCAGCCTCCCAAGTAGCTGGGATTAGAGGCGCACACCACCATGTACAGCTAAGTTTTGTATTTTTAGTAGAGATGGTGTTTCACCATGTTGGCCAGGACGGTTTTGATCTACTGACTTTGTGATCCGCCCACCTTGGCCTCCCAAAGTGCTGGGAATACAGGTGTGAGCCTCGGCGCCCAGCCAACTTTTTTTGCCTTTAAACCTTACTGCCCTGTATCTCTCGTGATCCAAGTCCTACTGTTAGCTAGTGTGAAATGACATGGAGGCTGGGTGCAGTGGCTCATGCCTGTAATCCCAGCAACTTGGGAGGCCGAGGGTGGTGAATCACTTGAGGTCAGGAGTTTGAGACTAGCCTGGTCAACATGGTAAAACCCCATCTCTACTAAAAATATAAAAATTAGCCAGGCGTGGTGGCAGGTGCCTGTAATCCCAGGTACTTGGGAGGCTGAGACAGGAGAATTGCTTGAACCCGGGAGATGGAGGTTGCAATGAGTCGGGATCGTGCCACTGCACTCCAGCCTGGGTGACAGAGTAAGACTCTGTCTCAAAAAAAAAAAAAAGAAAGAAATGACATGCAGTCAGGAACTGGGGTATAGTCTTGTCACTGCCACTAATTCTGGAAAAATAATTTCCCTTCTCTGGGCCTCCTCATGTGCAAAATGAGTGAAAGGTGAGCCAGATCCTCAAGCTGTTCTACAAAGCACCCACAGGCAGTGGAATGTGGGCACACAAGAGCCTGGAGCCCCAGCCCCACAGGGCCTGACACCAGCTCTGCAGTGATTTGCAATCTTGTTCTTTTATTGGTGTAAATTCATGCGAATTTTGCATTCTGCTCTGCGATATATCTGTGTTATAATATAAACGCAATAGGTTTCCCCTAAATCTTCAAGTAAACTTGACTCTCCAGGAAGCTAAATCACTTGTATCCTGAGGTCACTTGTGATATAGCCACTATCCTGGGAATGCACATGTCCCAGTGTGTGAGCCCTGTGGGCCATGAGTGCCTCCAGGCCACCTCCAGAGTAGTGGGCTGTGGGTCTGCAGAATAGTAATCCCTTCTAATGTGTCCCATCTAACTGGCTGCAGAGTCTTGCTCTGTCACCAGGCTGGAATACAGTGGTGTGCTCTCAGCTCACTGCAACCTCCGCCTCCCGAGTTCAAGCGATTCCCCTGCCTCAGACTCTGGAGTAACTGAGACTGCAGGCATATGCCACCATGCCCAGCTAATTTTTTGTGTTTTAGTTGAGACATGGTTTCCCCATGTTGGCCAGGATGGTCTCAATCTCTTGACCTCATGATCTGCCCGCCTTGGCCTCCCAAAGTGCTGGCTGTCTGCATTTTTAACAGAGGATTCTGGAGATGGCCCAAAGGAGTGATTCTAATGGTGGAGTTTTAGATGTGGCAGCAGGCTGATGGGGAAGGGAGGAATTGGAGCATCCTTGCATTGACTCTCAGGCACTTCACACAGGCAGCCTCCCAGTTACCCTAAGCTTAAAACAAGACCCACTAGACAGTCCTCATCACCCAGCCACCAGCATTCTTCATGAAACACTTTTTCCTCCATTGGGTTGTTTTCAAATGCCCTAGACTATACAAAAGCAGGGCTAGCTGTCCTTTAAAATCAAGGAACATTGGACAGGTACAGTGGCTCACACCTGTAATCCCAGCACTTTGGGACGCCGAGGCAGGCAGATTGCCTGAGCTCAGGAGTTCACGACCAGCCTGGACAACACAATGAAACCCTGTCTCTACTAGAATACAAAAACAATTACCCAGTCATAGCAGTGTGTACCTATAGTCCCAGCTTCTTGGGAGGCTGAGGCAGGAGAATTGCTTAAACCCAGAAGGCAGAGGTTGTAGTGAGCTGTGATCACACCACCGCAGTCCAGCCTGGACAACAGAGCAAGACTCCGTCTCAAATAAATAAATAAGTAAATACAATAAAATCAAGGAACAAGGCCCCCTGGACTCAGCCTCAGACCCACAGACCCAGCAGACAGAAACACAGACAGAGACTCACTTACCATAGAACCCAGCAAAAGCTCCCTGCAGGCCGGGACGCTGAGTTCTGGTGCAGGGAGAGGCTCTGTACCTATCACAAAGTCCTTGGGCAACTTGAAGAGAACACCATCGAGGGCATTCATTCTGTCAGAGGAGTGTGGAGATGCCTGGCAGGATTGGGGCAGCTGCTTGATGGCAAGGAGAGAGAGTCAAGTCCTGAGCACCAGGCTCAGGCCTCAAATGGCCTCACTGCTCTCCTATGTGGTCACTTAGCTGAGCCCCAAACTGCTGGAAAGGAGAAGGTGATGGGGCCAGTGCTGCATAAAGGAAGGAAATAAATACAAACAAGAGCGTTCACACAGGAATTCACTATTTCATATTTAAATCATGCTCTAGATCATGTTTTCCAAAACATGATCCCCAACACTAGTTCTAATGCATTTCATCAAAAGAATTGTCACCCAAATGTTTAAGAAACAAACAATACTAATTTATATAAACTCTTCCAGGGAAGAAGAAAATAAGAAATACTTTCTAACTCATTTTGATTTTAGAATAACCTTTGTTTTTTTTCTTCTTTCTGAGATGGAATCTTGCTCTGTCGCCCAGGCTGGAGTGCAGTGGCACAATTTTGGCTCACTGCAACCTCTGCCTCCTGGGTTCCAGTGAGTCCCCTGCCTCAGCCTCCAGAGTAGCTGGAATTACAGTCTTGTGCTACCACACCCAGCTAATTTTTGTATTTTAAGAAGAGACGGGGTTTCACCATGCTGGCCAGGCTGGTCTCAAACTACCAACCTCAGGTGATCCACCCACCTCAGCCTCCCAAAGGGCTGGAATTACAGGCGTGAGCCACTGCACCTGGCCAATTTTACCATAACCATGATACCAAACTTGACCAGAAAGTTAGAAGCCAATCTCTCATGAACACAGATGCAAAAAATCTTAAAAATAATTACGGGTAGAATAATATAACACTGCCAAGTTAAGTTTGTTTCAGGAAAGACATATTGACTTAACATTCCCACATCAATCAATGGGAATAAAGATCAATATCAATAGAATAAAGATGAAAAATTATACAATTATATGGTTCCATAGATGCAGACAAAAACATGATAAAATCAATACCCATGCCCTTTCAGCAACTTAGGAATAGAAGGGAATTTTCTTAACTAATAAAGAGTATCTCTAAAATATGACACAGAGGCCGAGATTGTGTCACTGCACTCGAGCCTGGGCAATGGAGTGAGATGCTGTCTCAAAAAAAAAAAAAAATCAGTTATATCTCTCTATATAAATAGTAAATCATGTAAATGGAATTTTAAAAATTTTATTAGAAATGGAAATTTTAGGCCATGTGCAGTGGCTCAAGCTTGTAATCCCAATGTGTTGGGAAACTGAGGCAGGTGGATCACTTCTGGTCAGGAGTTGGAGACCAGCCTGGCCAACATGATGAAACCACGTCTTTACTAAAAATACAAAAATTAGCCAGGTGTGGTGGTGAGCACCGGCAATCCCAGCTACTTGGGAAGCTGAGGCAGAAGAATCATTTGAACCCCAGAGGCAGAGGTTGCAGTGAGCCAAGATCACGCCATTGTACTCCAGCCTGGGCAACAAGAGCAAAACTCCATCTCAGAAAAAAAAAAAAATTTTAAAGTCATCATTTATATTAGCATCAGTTCTCTAGGACTCAATCTAACACAAGATGAAGGCGTCCTCTAAACAGAAAACTATAAAACATTTGGTTACATGGAGGAACATACCAGGTTCAAGAATTGTAAAACTGAATCTTGTGAAGATAGCAATTCTCCTCCAACTGATTTATTCATCCCATGTATCAAAATTTCATTACTTTTTTTGGTATAAATTGGCAAGCTAATTCTAAAATTAAATGAAATGCAATGGACCAGGAAAAGCCAAGACACTCTTGGAGAAGCAACACAGTAGAAGACTTTTACTATCAGATAGCAAGACCTTAAAGTTATGGGAATTAAGACAGTGACTTACAGGCTTATAAAGAGACCAACAGGACAAAAAAAAGAAAAAATCCGCACATGAATCTTTGATTTATGACAAAATTGGCTCTGTAGAGCAGTTGGAAAGGGAAAGTCTTTTAAACAAATTGTTCTGGATCAGTTGGATATCCTTCTGGGGAAAAAAAAAATATTGACCTCTACCTCACGTCATACCTAAAACTCAATTCCAGGTAGACTGTAGATTTAAGTGTAAAATGTAAAATAATAAAGCTCAAAGACGAAATGAGAAACTATATTCATGGCCTTGCAATAGTCAAAAGGGCTAACGGGCCAGGTATGTTGGCTCATGCCTATAATCCCAGGCAAGAGGATCAGCTGAGGCTAGGAGATTGAGAGCAGCCTGGGCAACAAAGAAAGACCCCCATCTCTATAAAAAATACAAAAGTAGCCAGGTATGGTGGCACACACCTGTAGTCCCAGCTACTCAGGAGGCTAAAGTAGGAGGATTGCTCAAGCCTGGGAGGATGAGGCTGCAGTGAGCTGTGAGCTGTGAGTCCAGGCTGCACTCCAGCCTGGGCAACAAAATGAGACCCTGTTTCAAAAATAAAAATAAAAATAAAACCACAACAACAACAACGACAAAAAGCTCCAAAAGAGACTAACCATGAAGGAAAATTCTGATACACTGGATTACATTAAAGTTAAGAACATCTGCCAGGTGCAGTGGCTCACACGCCTATAATTTCAGTACTTTGGGAGGCCAAGGCAGGTGGATTGCTTGAGGTCAGGAGTTCGAGACCAGCTTGGCCAACATGGTGAAACCCTGTCTCTACTAAAAATACAAAAATTAGCCAGGCATGGTGGCACATGTCTGTAATCCCACCTACTAGGGAGGCTGAAGCAGGAGAATCGCTTGAACTTGGGAGGTGGAGTTTGCAGTGAGACAAGATCACGCCACTGCACTCGAACCCAAGCGACAGAGTGAGACTCTGCCTCAAAAAAAAAAAAAAAATTAAGAACTTCCATTCATCAGAATACACCATTAAGAGAGTTAAAACAAAAACAAATCACAGAGTGGGAGAAGATATTTGCAACACATCTATCCGACAAAGAACTCATATACAATATACACAAAGAACTTCTATAAACAATAAGAAATGGGCAAGAGATTTTAATAGGCACTTTACAAAAGAAAATATCCAAATAGCCAATATGATAAGTTGTTTAACTTCATTAGTCATCAGGGGAATGCAAAATAAAATAATGAGATACTACTATACAAACATAACCATGAATTTAAGGTTAAAATTAAAAAGCTTGACAATACCAAGTGTTGATGAGGATGTGGAACATCTGTAACCCTCATTCACTGTTGGTCAGAAAGTCAGTTAGTATACTCAACAGTATCTACTACGCCTGAAAGCCAAGAATTAAGAACTCATTCACATATCACTTCTTGGCCTTTTGACTAAGATCAAGTGTAGTATCTGTCCTTCATTTAGCAATACTCACGACAGCCAGGAATCTGATTTTTGATGTATTTTAAACTACATTAAATATTGCATCTGTTGCCTTTAAAAAAGAACAAACTTGGCTGGGTGTGGTGGCTCATGCCTGTAATCCCAGCACTTTGGGGAGGCCGAGGCAGATGGATCACCTAGGGTCAGGAGTTCAAGACCAGCCTGGCCAACATGGCAAAACCCTGTCTCTACTAAAAATACATAAATTAGCTGGGCACAGTGGCATATGCATGTAATTCCAGCTACTTGGGAGGCTGAGACAGGAGAATTGCTTGAACCTGGGAGATGGAGGTTGTGGTGAGCCGGGACCGTACCACTGCACTCCAGTCTGGGCAAGCAACAGAGTGAGACTCCATCTCAAAAAAAAAAAAAAGAACAAACTCATTCACACACAATTTAAGTTCACGACTGCCTATAATATATACGTGAATCTAGACTCTGACCACAGTCTGGCATTTTGCAAACAATCAGGATTACCAGGGAGTCTGCAATAGGGAGTGCCTCTGGCTCAATACAATCTGTCATCCCTACCAGGATGACGCAAAGCTCTGCCCTGCTAGGGGTCACTAGTCATCCCCTTCCCATGAGAGCATCATGTGAAGGGGTAGGATGGGTAATCTGAGTGCAGAGAGGTCAAATGGAGGCAGGTGGCAAATCCGTTAATCCCTCATCTCCTGCCCCATCTGCCAACTCTTGTCAGTGTCTTGCTATCTATAAGAATCAAAAGGTTTCTCCACTCCATTCCTGGAGCTGGTCTCCCTGCACAGCAGGAGGCAGCTCTCTATGTTGCCTTTGTGATACAGGATCAGGCAGGTCCCACTGTAACCAGTAAACTATCTGCCCCATTGGCCAGTTCTTACAGGGGACATTTGAGGTACAAGGGTGTTATAGGAGACACAGATATGTTCAGCAAGTTTTGGCATTCTCAGATTTATTATTCATATTTTCAGCTATCATCTGAATTTTGAGCTATCCTACCAAGAGAGGGACACAGTTCTCCTGAGACTGTCTGTCCACTTAGCAGGTATAGGGCAGCCTTCTCTCCAACTTCCACAGAGCATCTGCATCGTAATAGGTATTTTCTACTCAGCCCTACAGCTGGCTCCTAGGAGAGTTTGAGGATTTGGGGAACATACCTCTTTTTTTTTTTTTTTGAGACAGTTTCACTCTGTCACCCAGGCTAGAGTGCAGTGGTGAGATCTTCTCAGCTCACTGCAACCTCCACCTCCCAGGTTCAAGCGATTCTCCTGCCTCAGCTTCCTGAGCAGCTGGGATTATAGGCATGCACCACCACGGTTGGCTAATTTTTGTATTTTTAGTAGAGATGGTCTCGAACTCCTGACTTCAGGAGATCCGCCTGACAGCCTCTCAAAGTGCTGGATTGCAGGTGTGAGCCACCATGCCCAGCCTATATCTCTTAAGAATGGCAAGGGCTGGCCGGGCGCAGTGGCTCACGCCTGTAATCCAGCATTTTGGGAGGCCGAGGCGGGTGGATCACGAGGTCAAGAGATCGAGACCATCCTGGTCAACATGGTGAAACCCCATCTCTACTAAAAATACAAAAAATTAGCTGGGCATGGTGGCACATGCCTGTAATTCCAGCTACTCAGGAGGCTGAGGCAGAATTGCACGAGTTCTCATCTTTGATGCTTTCCTGTCCTTTAGCACCACCATCTCAAATCCCCTGCCAACTTTTATCTCCTAAATCTCTGGAATCCAGCCATTTCATGCCTCCTCCACTGCTACCATGGAATCCAAGCCCCCATTCTCTCACCTGGACAGCTCATCTCCGTGGATCCTCACATCTTTATTATTACAATTCTGTTCCACACACTGAGGCAAGAATGATCATTTCAAAACCCAAAACTAAGCCACTCCTGGCCAGGCACTGTGGCTCATGCCTGTAATCCCAGCACATTGGGAGGCAGAGGTGGGAGGATTGCTGGAGCCCAGGAGTTCAAGACCAGTCTGGGCAACACAGCAAGACCCCTTCTTTAGAAAAAAACAAAACAAACCTAAGCCACTCCTCTACTTAAAACTCTTCAATGGTTCCTGGCTGTTTTTCAAAATAAAAATTAAACTTCTGAAGGCTTGCAGTGTCTGGCTTGTTTCCTCTTCTCCCATCTTACTCCATCCAGTCATGCCAGCCTTCAATTGCGATGGTCTCTCAGCCCCCACAGAACCTTTGCATATGCTATTCCAGATACTTACTATGTTCTTCCCTGTTGCTTCCCCACAACTAATTAAAAGTTGTTCAAAAGCCAGGCATGGTGGCTCACATCTGTAATCCCAGCACTTTGAAAGGTCAAAGTGGGCGGATCACTTGAGGTCAGGAGTTCGAGATTTACCTGGCCAACATGGCAAAACCCCATCTCTACTAAAAACTAGCTTGGCCTGGTGGTGCATGCCTGTAGTCCCCGATACTTGGGAAGCTAAGGTGGGAGAATTGCTTGAACCTGGGAGATGAAGGTTGCAGTGAGCCGAGATCACACCACTGCACTCCAGCCTGGATGACAGAGCAAGACTCTGTCTCAAGAAGAAAAAAAAAAAGCTGTTCATTTTTCAGAGCTCAGTTGAAACATCACGTCCTCAAAAAAGCTTTCCCTGACCCTCAAATTTGGTTAGGTCTACCTCGCACAGTGGCCTTTACCTTTTTTTTTTTTGAGACAGAGTGTTGCTCTGTCAACCAGGCTAGAGTACAGTGCTGCAATCTTGGCTCACTGCAACCTCCATCTCCCAAGTACACGCAATTCTCCTTTCTCAGCCTCCCAAGTAGCTGGGATTACAGGCGCCCACCACCTCACCTGGCTAATTTTTATATTTTTAGTAGAGATGGGGTTTCACCATCTTAGCCAAGCTGGTCTCAAACTCCTGAGCTCGTGATCCACCTGCCCTAGCCTCCCAAAGAGCTGGAATTACAGGTGTGAGCCACCACACCTGGCATTTTTTTTTTTTTTTTACTGTGACCCATAGTATACTTTATTTCCTAGCATACACATATGTAAACTGAATGATTCTTACCCTTACTATATGACACATATTTTCTATTATTTCAATTAAATGCGTCACAGAACCTTTTGAAGAAAAACCCTAATTCATAATGTCAGACCCATGGCTTTCTTTCAAAGCACTCGGCATACACCTTCCTCATTACCTGTATTCTCTATGAGGTTAGGGAGTATTTGGTATTTTGCTTAGCCTTAATAGGCACTTAATAAACATTTGGAATAAACATAAATTGGTTAATAAGTACTTTTCCTTGTAGCACTTATCCCAATTGTCTCTAATGACTCTAATTACCTGTTATAATCATTAAGCTTCTTCACTCTAAACTCAAAACTCCAGGAGGTCAGGAATCCTGTCTGTTCACCCCTTCTTGCATCCCTAGCACCTAACCACATTACCTGGAAAATGGTAAGTAAAAAATCATTTCCCAAAGAACACAACTTAAATTCTGGTATCCAGACTGGCCAGCATGAATTAACAAAGCCGAGGAAAAGCGTCCACTGTTCTGCATATTCACCCACTCTAACACCACTCGCCTCAGAGACCTCAATCTTGACTTCGGAAACTAAGAAAAACCAAATTTATTCCAAAAGACAAATGAACTCTGCATTAGAAACCTGCTCTTCATGTGTGGCCAGATATGGCAAGCCATGAACTACTATGTGGATTCACAAAAAAATCAAAGCTCATCATATGGAAATAGGTTATAGGTTCTAAGCATTAAAAAAAAAACAATCTGGGACAAATAGGTGACAAAAAAACAAATTTAGTTGATAATGTCTCATTTAATCACTATTCCATAAATCATTACTATTTCAGTGTTCTCATTCCTTTCATATATTGCATATTATACTTATTTAAATGGAGTAAGATATACTTTGTACTTACCTTATAATTACCAGGAGACTTCCCTGCAGACAAAGCATGTATGAGTGAATAGCTACAACAGATGGTATAAGCCTAAGCTTCTTGTTACAAATGTCACATGGGCATAGGAGCATGAATGGATTTAGAGCGATTAAGTTGGTTGGCTGGTAGCAGCAAATTCTTTGACATCATAAACTCAGCCACTTGGGCTAAATAAATACCCTTAGTATTTAAGAACTAATCTCTTTCTCTCATAGCTTCTAATCTCTGTATTTACTGAATTTATTTAAAAACAAAATGCTTCTGTGGAGTTTTTCTTTTAATTAAAAGTATTCCAGGTAATAATTAAAAAATGACAGAATTAAACTATTACTATTTTTTTTTTTAAGAGATGAGGTTTCACCATGTTGGCCAGGATAGTCTCGACCTCCTGACCTGGTGATCCGCCCGCCTCAGCCTCCCAAAGTGCTGGGATTACAGGCATCAGCCACCGCACCCGGCCTGCAACTATCACAATTTTTGACTCCCCTCCCCATGAATGAATGAATCTAGGCCTTATCAGTGGCCACTAGCATCACAAAAAGCGCCAAGACATTAGTGACTCCTGAATGGAAGTATACATCATGTCTGTGAAGTATTCCTTTCAGAAAATTCCAATCCAAACACGATCAAGCCTCTAGATCAGCACTATCCAATAGAAATATGCGATCCACATATGTAACTGCACACCTCAACTCAAATCACATTTCAAGTGTTCAAAAGCCAAATGTGGCTACTATATTGGACAGTACAGTTCTGTTTAACTATTCAATTACAGGATATACGAGAACAGAGGGACATGGCATTACAAGGATGCAACCAACAGTGTATGGATTATATTTAGATCCTAATCTGAACAAAATATAAAACACATTTATGAGAGGGCAATTTGAACAATCACTGGGTATTTGTGATGTTAAGGAGTTATTATTCATTTATTTAGATGTGATAATGGTCCTGTGGTTAGATTTTTTTTAAAAATCACTTAAAGCTATAGACTGAAATATTTATGGATGAAGTAATTTGATGCCTGAGGTTTGCTTCAAAATAACCCAGGGTGAGTGAAGGATGTATAGATGCAAAAAGATTGGCCATGAACTGATAATGATTCGAAGCTGATGATGAGTATATGGGAAAAAAAATCATTGTACATTTTCTGTACTTCTGAATGTATTTGAAATTCTCCAAGTTAAGAAAAAAAAGACTGTGGGATAAGATTGCAGTAACAGCACTCATATTCTTGAAAGTATAATTCATTAGACACTACTATGAATCTCTCTAAACCTGAAAGAACCAGTGGCTGCTGCCACCACCAACAAACAGGTAATAAACCAGGAAAACCTTACAAATAAAAACCAAACAACAAAAGCAATGCTTTTTTATTTATTTTTGAGATGGAGTCTTGCTCTATTGCCCAGGCTAGAGTGCAATGGCGTGATCTCAGCTCACTGCAACCTCCACCTCCTGGCTTCAAGCTATTCTCCTGCTTCAGTCTCCCAAGTAGCTGGGATTATAGGTGCCCACCACCACGCCTCGCTAATTTTTGTTATTTTTAGTAGAGACAGGGTTTTGCCATGTTGGCAAGGCTGGTCTCGAACTCCTGACCTCAGGTGATCCACCCACCTCAGCCTCCCAAAGGGCTGGGATTATAGGCATGAGTCACAGTACCCAGCCTGCTCACTCACTTTATTAAAATCTTGCAAGGGCCAAAGGAAAAAGGGAATTTTTTTTTTCCTCCACCTGTGACAGCAGATTTCCTGCCCTCACAGCAGATGTCTTGGTGGCAAGGCTGTCCAGACACCAAACACACAGCATAATTCACCTATTTCTACTCTTCCTCCATCTCATCAGAGAGCAAATGGTGGAGATTTCTAACAAAAAGGCACAGAGGATTGTGGGGTTCTATGAGACTAAGCATACCAGATTTTAAGATTTATAAGATTACACACACATATTGGAGACAAGTGGCCCTCATTACCTATTTGGGAACTCTATATAATGTATAATGTATAAATGAATGCAAATTAAACCTCAGAAAAGGGACAAAGGCATTAGTATCTTGGACGCAAAATCTTTCAACTACAGTATATAACATCATTTCCAAAACTGACGGTATCCTTGCCTATCCAGAGTTGGATTTTGCAGATAAAGTTTGGCTTCTGGCTGGGGGTACGGGGGGCAGCCCTGGAATAGGGGCTGTGGCGGTATGCAGGGACCCAGCTGCGGTGGCTGCCAGGCTGACGAGAAACTGCTAAAGTTCCTAGGGAAGCAAAGTAGAATTTTTCATGACAACAAAATGGATGGAGAGGAGAAAACCTATGGTGGCTGTGAAGGCCCTGATGCCATGTATGTCAAATTGATATCATCTGATGGCCATGAATTTATTGTAAAAAGAGAACATGTATTGACATCAGGCACAATAAAAGCCATGTTGAGTGGCCCAGGTCAATTTGCTGAGAACGAAACCAATGAGGTCAATTTTAGAGATACCTTCACATGTGCTATCAAAAGTATGCATGTATTATTTTACGTACAAAGTTCGCTAACATTAACAGCTTCACTGAGATTCCTGAATTCCCAATTGTACCTGAAATTGCACTAGAACTGCTGATGGCTGAGAACTTCCTAGATTGTTAAATAAAATAAATTATAATAAACTGTTAAAAAAAAAAAAAGTTTGGCTTTTAAGATTCACATTCCCTTAACAAATGCCTGCTTAATACATTTGAATTTTTGAATGAAAGTATGTTTCATCAATGTGAAAGTGTGTTAAGTGATTTAGAAGGCAACAAATTGGCAGCAAAGGCACAAACTAAAAAATAAAAAATGATTTTTATTTAGTTTTTTGAAAATATAAATAACAAAATTGGCAAAAAACCCAAACAGAACCAAAAAAATGATGTTTATATGAGTGATCATCTCCAAGCACAACAGCATTTATTAATGAATATAAAAAATAAGTTTTATTATTTTTATTTGCTTTCCCCCAGATTTGACTACATGGATAGTTTTAGAAGCTTCAGTTCCTAAGATAATTCCATAGCTACACTGGCTCCTACAATGTGACAGAGTGAGGTTAAGGTCCCACTCCCATCAGGGAAATATCCTTGGTGATTCTGAACTAGACCCTTAGAAACGTAAAAAAACAGGTGCTTTCATTAGGATCCTTCTAACATGGAAAAAATACAGCCATCGTCCATTAAAACACAATCCAATTTGGGTACTCTTAAGGTTTTCTAAGTTCTCCACATGAAAATAAAACTAGGCCACTGTCTTTTCTGGCAACTCAGCCTACAGCCATTGCCATCTTCCTAAATAGCAGCCTCCCAAGCTGCACACAAACTGGGATTAACAAAACCGAAGATAACAAGTTTTTGACTTTCTTCCTAGAAGTCAAAGCGCGCTTCAGGTAGAAAAGGTCAGGAGGTTTTGCATCAAGCTTGCCTTCACGCACTCACTATTGGTGGAAGGGTTGTGCAATCTACCCATCGCACACCTGTATTGACTGTTTGAGTGTACTTACCCATCACACACAAGGAAGCTCGAGTAAATTAAGTCACTCTGGACCAAGCCCCTCAAAATAGAGGCAAATCTGGTGAACCAAGGTCATTCACTGCCTGTGGTAATAACCTTAGTTCACCTAAGTCCTTTCCTGAAGAACCACATTAATCTCCTGATTCAAGAGGCACCTCTGGCCAGCACAGAGCACAGAAGGAAAGCATAACTTCAGGGTAGGGGAACACCACATGGAATTTAGAAGTTGCAGTTTAGTCTACAGCAAAAGATGGCAGCATCACTTATATTTAGAGCTGGAAAGAGCGTTGGCTGGACCACACTCCTGGAGCATCTTTACTAATGTAGTTTAACAGCAGTTGCCCAGATGTCGTTGCTGGGGAGCGGGGGAAGGACCCATCCTTGGGGAATGAAGTTGCCTTTGGGATGATCAGATGGCACCAGGTACTGATCCCAATCATGCCTTAATAAGAACATTATAGAACAACTGTTTATTTCTGTTTTATTCCAGATAAGATGTTCAGCAACTGAATATTCTATTTCTAAGACTTAGCTTTCAAATGACCGATATACTAACTTACTACAGAACTTGATTTCTAGGCTTCAAGAAAATGACTATATTTCCTAAATGTACACATAAAAGGAAGAAAAAATCTGAAGAACTTACAACCTTATGGATAACCAAACAGTAAAGTCAATCCTCATTATTTGCAGACTGGGTATTTGTATATGTGCCTACTAACTAAAATTTATTTTGTAACCCCCAAATCAATCACTTGTGGCCCTTTCATGGATACTAGCAGACACACACAGTGGCAAAAAAAAATCTGAGTCATCAAAATGCAGTTACCAGCTAAGGTCAAAGAAGGCAACAATTACTCTGCCTTTTTTTTCAGCTCCTATTAATATAAACGTGTTCTTTTCTCTATTTAATGCCACATTTTCCACAATTTTGTGCTTTTTACTGATGACTTTGCTGTTTAAAACGGTCCTAAGTGTAGTGTTCCTAACTGCAAGAAGACTGTGATATGCTTTGTGAAGAAAATGTGTTAGGGAAGCTTCATTGAGGTATGAGGTATAGCACAATTAGCTGTGAGTTCAATGTTAGGAAATCAACAGCAAATATTAAATAAGGTGTCTTTAACAGAAACACACATACAACAAGGTGTTGACAAAAACACTGTGACCAGAGTCTCACAGGAATCTACCTGTGTTTCCTTTAGGAGTGATGTTCAGTGTTCTGAAATCAGTGTTTGCAGTGACTTTAGAGAATACAGCTGTCATGAATAATGAGAATTGACTGTACTTATGTTTAAAAGCTAAAATTGTACATTAGCAAAAAATAAACTTTTCCAGAATATAAACTGGATATGCTAAAGAGCATTCTTTCATAAGAATCACAAACAGCTGAGGTTTTGGAAGGGACATTAGAGATCATTTAGTTCAGTGATTTTCAAACCACACAAGACCCCTATGCCCCAAGCAGATGTTTGGGGAAATCTAGAAACAACAAATCGCTTCTAGGCAACAACAGATTTATACTGCCTCAGGAATCAATTCATTCCATTTATCTCACATATTGTTTCCTCAAAAGACTACATTTCAGAAGAGTGCTGCTGCTCAAGTTTGAAGGCCACAGTCTAGTCCACTGTCTTCCTTTTATAGGTGAGGAAAGAGACCCAGAGAGCTGAAAACTGCCCAGCTCCTTAAGAACTGCAGATTCAGATGAGCCTCCTTGTTCCCAGGTTTCTGGGCTTTGACCTTTACATTAGCTCAGAAGTCAGCATGGGTCTTAAACCATCTCCAAAGGCAAGTACATAGTGGAGGGTTTCTTCTTCCTGGGTCTGGTTAGCACCAGAAGAGAATTTGGAAAAGGAAACCAATGCTTTAAATCAATATAACAGCTATAACATCTATAACATGGGATAATACAAAGGGCAAGTCACAACCTGAGTTTGTTTCTTCACCTATAAAAATAGGGACTTCAACTTCTCAAGGATTCATGAGGACTAAACAAGATGTATGCAGCATCCTTGAAACATGGAAACATTACAAACACATGTTTTTTTAAGTTTCATGAGGAACTTAAAAAAAAAAAAGACAGTAATAGACCTCTACAATGTAAGCACTTTATCAAGTTCTTTCTGCTACCTAAGGGAAAGACAACATGGAGAGCCTGCCCCTCTGACCTGATCTGGATGAGTGCTGGCAGGGAGTGCTCAGCTTGGAGGTAATACTGTCGGAAAGGCTCCAAGAGATGAGCAAGTGGGAACTCATCTGAAAGAGAAAAGCACAATACCATGTTATCATGCTTGGTATCTACAGTGTATTTCCCAAGGCAAGGTGACTGAGCCTATGATTACAACAGTATGAGCAAATGGGTTTCATCTGTATCTATGAGTTCTTTTTTTTTTTTTTTTTTTTTTTGAGATGGAGTTTCGCTCATTACCCAGGCTGGAGTGCAATGGCACAATCTCGGCTCACTGCAACCTCCGCCTCCTGGGTTCAGGCAATTCTCCTGCCTCAGCCTCCTGAGTAACTGGGACTACAGGCACGCGCCACCATGCCCAGCTAATTTTTTGTATTTTTAGTAGAGACGGGGTTTCACCATGTTGACCAGGATGGTCTCGATCTCTTGACCCCGTGATCCACCAGCCTCAGCCTCCCAAAGTGCTGGGATTACAGGCTTGAGCCACCACACCCGGCTTGTATCCATGAGTTCTATGATATAGAACTGCAAATCTGGAAGGTGTCGTTTGTTGCCTACCTCTTAGCTTAAGTTGAGATCACACATGATGAGAAGAGCTATCAATCTAGCATGTTCATTTTCTCCACTGGTTATAGACCAACATACCTGGATCCCCAAACAACTTGGACTCAATTTCACGTTTCTGAAGTAAAATTTTCTCTTTTTCTTTTCTTTGTTTCTTTTCTAATTCTCTTTTCCTCTCTTCCTCTTGTTCTCCTTCCAGCATAACCCTGAGGGCTCTCTCTTCAGCTTCATACAGTTCAGAGCGTTTTTTAATGAGTTTTCGCAGTCGGTGAAGATGATGCTCAAAAGTTTCATCTGCTGAGGCTGGAGGACAGACCCCTGGGCAGAAAGAACAAATGGTGTTTTATTTATTTATTTATTTTTAAGACAAGACCTCACTCTATCACCCAGGCTGGAGTACAGTAGTACAATCACAGCTCACTGCAACTTCAAACTCCTGGGCTTAAGTGATCTCTTGCCTTGGCTTCCAAGTAGCTAGGACTGCAGGTGTGCACCACCATGCCTGGCTTGGAGACAGGGTCTCACTCTGTTGCCCAGGCTGAAGTGCAGTAGCATGATCACGATTGACTGCAGCCTCGACCTACTGGGCCCAAGATATTCTCCCACCTTAGTCTCCCAAGTAGCTGAGACGTGCCACCTCATCTGGCCAATTTTTTTTTCTTATTTTTGTAGGACAGGGTCTCCCTATATTTCTCAGGCTGGTCTTGAACTCCTGATCAAGCAATCCTCCTGCTTTGGCCTCCCAAAGGGCTGGGATTACAGGCCTGTAATCCTGTGCCTGACCCTACCTGTGCCTGACCTACGTGGCTAATTTTTACTGTGCCTGACCCTACCTGGCTAATTTTTAAATTTTTTGTATGGGGTCTTGCTA